TCCGCGGGACCCTGACCCTGCACCCCGGCGATCCACCAGACCTTCCCCCTCCAGTCCCAGCCGCACTCTGCCTGTCCCCAGTAGCCCCTGCTCCAGAGCGGGGTCACCAGTGGTCACCCTGGCCCCAGGCCAGCTAGGGACCCTTGCCACGGTGGGAGATGGAGTGAGCCGAGCCGGATGATGGCCCAGGCAGCTCCTTCTCCAGCGCTGCAAAGCCCCTGTGATGCCCAGATCCTCTCCTGGCTCAGGGTGTTTGGGGGGCGCTTGGGACAGTCCCTGACCCAGCCCCTGCATTGCCCGTGGGTGCCCCAGGTCCCATGGAAACAACTCTTGGCCCACTTGGGTGGAAAATCCAAAGCCCCCAGGTCCCTTTTTTTCCTCCCTGGCCACCTTGGGTGCTATCTGGGACAAGGTGGGGTGCAGGGGAGAGCGGGCCAGGCTGGGAGGGATTGGGGGGCTGCAGTACCCCTGGGCTGAGCCTGCTCCCTGCCCCCACTCCCCCTCCCACCACTTGGCCAGTACAGCTGGAGCAGCACAGGGGGGAACTGCAGCGTTTGTGGCAGGGAGGGGAGAAATGGTATCAAAATGTCATCGCTTCACATGCAGAAACTGCTTGTCTCGGAGTGGCATTTCTAGGCAGCCGTGAGTGTTTTCCAGCCCCACCACTCCCTCGCTCCACGGAGGTTCTGAGCTCCAGGGCCCTGCAGCGCCTGGGCCAGGTTAGTGGCAGGGTCCCCCTGGGCACCCAGTGCCCGAACTGGGGAGCTGCAGCCAAACCTTGAGAAGAGCTGGGACCCAGGGGCTGTGCCCAGGGGCTGCGTGCCACCATGGCCCTGCCGGTGGTGCCGCTGGAGGTGGCTACACCTGGGGCGTTTCTGCACTCCCTGCAGTCCCCAAGGTCCGCGCGTTGCTGGGGCTGCAGATCTGCCGCTGCCTGGCCAGTTAGCTGAGCCTCTTCAAGGAGCTAGCTGCCCTGCGGGGCCAAGGGAGCCTTCCTCCTGCGTTCTCCACGGGAGAACCCTCACCCTCCTCTCTGGCAGAGGAGGACAGGGTTCACAGCTATGTGGCAAGCAGAGGCCTGACTTAACTCCTTGTTACCCTGGCCTCTCACAGCCCTCCTTCCAAAGACGCACCTTTCTAATGCAGCTCCTGGAGGGGGAATTTCTCCCAGCCTTTTGCTCTTGGCCAGGACCAGTCTCAGGTACTCTCTGCTGCCCGTTTCCAATTAAGGGAAAACCTGCCCAGCTGGCTCATTTTGGGGTGGCTGTTGTGGCCATTTCTAGCTGGCAAGCATGGCCATAAGCCCCTCCAGGATGAATCCCACTCCCCAGAGAGCAGATAGGAACAAGGTGTGTTGGTAGGAACAAGGAGGTAGGAACAAAGACCCCAGGGAGTCCCAGCTCTCAGCATCATCCTCTGCTTGTGGTAACAGGGTTATAGAGCCAAGCAGGAGCAGGACCCACCTGGGTGTGGACCTGGCGGAGTTATGAGGCAGAGTGCAGCAGGACCAGCAGTCCTCAAAGCTCCCTTTGTGTCCGGAGGTCTCTGGCTAGTTCCTCTCCATCACAGCCACATGCCTGGCAATGTGGTGAGCGAATGTCTCTCATTGTTCTTTGAAATGATCATTATAGACTGACAGAAGGAGAGAAACCGGCAGGCTAAGATGTGTTCACAAAAATATCCCCTCCAAGGTCAGTTTAAATAAGTCTCCATCATCGCTGTGAGCGCTGCGTGGGAAAGCTCATGTCAGCTCTGTGCCACAAACGGTGTGGAGATGGGCTTGCTGCTCTTCTGCTGCCACATCGTCTTGGCCCCTGGCAAGGTGTCACAACTCCGGCTGTGCTCCCGAGCACCTCTTCACTCACACCAGGCCAGCCCATGGCTTGGGGGGGTGTTGTGCCCCCCAAGCCCCCCAAGCCACGAGTCTGTGCCAGGCAGTGTGTATGGACGTGTGCTCAGCAAGTCAAGCCGGGGCTGGCGATTGAACCTCGGAGGCACCCTTCTTGCTTTCCCCCTCCAGCACCGGCACAGAGCCCAGCGGCTGTGCATGAGGCCATTGCCCGCTGCACCCCGTCCCCACTGCAGCCCTGGAGCCGGGAGGCACCTGGCCCCGAATGCCATGCCAGGGGACACGGCGGCAGGGGCTTTGCTGGCAGAGGGACAGGCAAAACGTGGGCACGTGGCACAGGCTGTGGCAGGCGAGGGGGTAAGCCGCCAGGATCACAGCAGAAGGAAGAAGGGGTCCCAGGGTCAGCACGCTGGCTCGGCGCTGGAGTGGATGCACAGCCACTTCCCCCGACAGCTGGCAATCCCTGCGGGGTGCTGAAATGTGCCTGCAGACCCCTGGTGCCAGCAGGCAGCTAACCTGCCTCCTCTGCCCCGCAGGCTGGTCTCAGGGCGGGAGGAGATTAAAGCTGCTTCCCGAAGCTCGCCCCAGCCCATGTCACCCTCAGATTTCCTCGACAAGCTTATGGGACGAACGTCAGGGTATGACGCCCGGATTCGACCCAACTTCAAAGGTAAGGGGAGGCTGTGAGGCTCCCAAACCTGGCAGAGACCCACACTTATGGCTGCCCAAAACCAGGGAATGGGCAGGTACGGGTGTTGGAGCGGGACCCTGACCCACATCCCTCCATCCCAACACCCTCCCCAGAGTCCCAGCTGCTCCCGTGGTCACAGCTGCCCTGAGTGTGCCTGCTTTGCCTGCCAGCGTGGCCGGCTGCAGTGCTTGCAGGGTGTGCTGGGGTTCACCCCGACACACTAGGGGGGTGACACCAGCGGGCAGGGGGATGCTCGTGTGCATTCATCCGCGCAGCGCATGCAGGAGGCGGCATCCCCTCATGTGCCTGTGCAGTGCACGTGTCTCCCCAGCCAGCGGCGAGAGGAGGCTTCACATTGTTTTCCAGGTCCGCCCGTCAACGTGACATGCAACATCTTCATCAACAGCTTCGGCTCCGTCACTGAGACCACCATGGTGAGGGTTTCACCAGCGCGACGGGCTCCTCTCCCAGCACCTCAGGGCTGGCGGTGGCTTTGCCACGGAGCGTGCAGGTCCCGGTGCCCAAGCTCATGGCCATGCTTGTAGGGGTCCTGTGAGCCCTTCTCCAGAGCCAGCCCTGGCATTGCAGTGGGGACATGCAGAGCCCCAGCAAATGGCTGTGGCTTTTTCTGGGGTCAGTTAACCTGAGCTGGGCTGTGTGAGCCACATTCCCCTTGCCTGAGCTGGGAGAAACATCCCAAAGGGTTGGAGCAAGGCAGCTGGCAGTAGCTCCCTGCTGTTCACAGGCTTGGCAGGTACCACACAATGCAAGCGAGTTCTGTGTCCCCACCATCCCCAGCCTCCTTGGGTGCATGAGGAACTCCTCTGTGGAAGCCACAGCGCTAAAATTTCCCTATTTATCCTGCTGCAAAACCTTAATACCATCAACCATCGCATCAACTCTCCCCAGGGCCACAGAGCCCTGCAAGGAATGCTGCAGGCAGCAGCTACTGGTCCTCCTCCTCCTTCTCCTCCTCTCTGCTGCTGTGACTTTGGCTTTTTGATTTCCCTTTCTTCTGACAGTATGAGAAGGCTTCTGAGCTGCCCCTGCCCTGTGCGTGGTTAGTGTTAGACAGGCAGCACCTGCAGGGCTGAGCCTCATCCAAGAGAACCCCTTCCTCCTCCTCCTCCATCCTTCTTCCTCCGCCATCTCTTCCTCCTCCTCCTCCCTGGGCACTGTGGGGTGCTCCCAGCTGATGCAGTGCCCTCTGCCCCAGGACTACCGGGTGAACGTATTCCTGAGGCAGCAGTGGAATGACCCCCGCCTGGCTTACCATGAGTACCCTGATGACTCCCTCGACCTTGACCCCTCCATGCTCGACTCCATCTGGAAGCCAGACTTGTTCTTTGCCAACGAGAAAGGGGCCAATTTCCACGAGGTCACTACCGACAACAAGCTGCTGCGCATCTTCAAGAATGGCAATGTGCTCTACAGCATTAGGTAGAACCCTTCTCCTCTGCCCAAGTGGGGACATGGGGCTTTCCTTTTGCCTCCCATGGGGCAGCTTTTCCCCCTGACTGCCCCAGCACCCAGCAACCGCTTCCTTTCCTCTGCCTCCTCCAGGCTGACGCTGATCCTGTCCTGCCCCATGGACCTCAAGAACTTCCCCATGGACATCCAAACATGTACCATGCAGCTGGAGAGCTGTGAGTAACTAGGGGGGTTCAAGCTATGCTTCATCCCCACCATCCCGTCCCATCCTATCCCATTCCAAAGGCTGGCATCTCCCTGCTTCTGAGGGAGCTGAGCAGGAAGGAGCAGTCATTCAGGGTGGGGATGAATGGTGGGGTGTGTGTCCCTGTTCCATTGCTCCCTCCATCCCCTCCAGTTGGCTACACCATGAACGACCTCATCTTCGAGTGGCTGGAGGAGCAGGAGGCCGTGCAGGTGGCCGAGGGCTTGACACTCCCGCAGTTCATCCTCAGGGATGAGAAGGACCTGGGCTATTGCACCAAGTACTACAATTCAGGGTGGGGATGAATGGTGGGGTGTGTGTCCCTGTTCCATTGCTCCCTCCATCCCCTCCAGTTGGCTACACCATGAACGACCTCATCTTCGAGTGGCTGGAGGAGCAGGAGGCCGTGCAGGTGGCCGAGGGCTTGACACTCCCGCAGTTCATCCTCAGGGATGAGAAGGACCTGGGCTATTGCACCAAGTACTACAACACAGGTGAACACCCCAGAGACTCGCTGCCTTTTCCATGGCCCGGGGGTCCCTCTTGCCCATTGGGGCTGTCTTTCCCTGCAGGCAAGTTCACCTGCATCGAGGTGAAGTTCCACCTGGAGAGGCAGATGGGTTACTACCTGATCCAGATGTACATCCCCAGCCTGCTCATTGTCATCCTCTCGTGGGTCTCCTTCTGGATCAACATGGATGCAGCACCAGCCCGGGTAGGCTTGGGCATCACCACTGTGCTCACCATGACCACGCAGAGCGCCGGCTCCCGTGCCTCCCTGCCCAAGGTCAGTGCTGGCTCCGTGCCGGGCTCCCGCGCTGCAGCC